ACCATTCCAAAAAAACGTTTCTTATTAAATTGTTTTCTCATGTAAAGAATTTGTAATTGGTGTTAAAAGCTAGTAATGATTCATGCCAAGGTAGTCTCGTTTCTATTTATTACTATACATACATACATACATACATACATATATATATATATAATATAAAAATGAAATATTATTAGTAACAACCTTGTCTTCTTATAAAATTCTAATTTTTTTTTATAAATCAATAGCTATTAAGGTTAACTTGAAGACTGTTCATTTAGTTTTCCTTACTTTAACAAAAACATATAGTAGAGGACAAGAATTCGTAACTTTACTTATAGAATTCGTAACATATGTTGAACTTCACATTACCTTTTTAGTAAAGCTTTATTAACAAATGTTATTAAAAGCACATTGTTCAATAGTTTTAATCCCAGAGAGTATATATACAAAGTTTCATTTAAGTTTCGCAATTTTACAAAAAAGTTTTATTTGTTCAAACCTTAAAAATTGTGGTCGTGTGATTTTTTTGCCATATGATATATTGTGTAACCGAACTCTACCCTTAAGAATTACGTTACACGCATTAAAAAATTAACGTAATATTTCGAATGTCCACCATGCCATCGGATTTATTATGTAAAAAAAACAATATGGCCAGAGGGACCCTTACCCCCATATAATTGAATTCATATCACATTGGGGTTAATATGTATAACAAACATAACGCAGCATCAAAATTGAGTATTCAGAATTAAAACATAAAAAATAACCACATACATATAATATGAATTTTCCTCAAGATTCTACCGATGAACATTGTAAAGGTGCTGACGATTCCCTTGATGCTAATTATTATATACCTGCTCCAACTGATGTTCGAACTGCATTACAATATACCGCACTGACATCGATCACTCCAGCTTCAGAAGGTTTTTTTCTTGATTTTATTATTTTGGCTCGTTCTCAATGACTTTATTGAGGCATAACTCTCAAAAATGTACTATATACATTGAAAGAATCTTCCTATTGAATCATTTTTATGATTTATAATTCATATCTTTTTTTCATTTTAAAATTACTTGAAAGTCTTAAAAAATTTACCTCCATTATCTGTATCGTTTGGTGATTTCCAAACTTTTAATGCAACGGATCCCGAGTTTGTTGGAATTGCTAGTTTATTGGAAAGTAAACCTTCACAATATCCTAATATAAATATACAGCAACAAATACAAGCTGTACACAACTTAATGAATCAAGTGGATGTTAGTTATGTGTAAGTTTTTAAACTCATAGATTTGTAGATCAATTTGATCTTTTTAAATAAAATTTTTATATAAACATTACTTGTTTATTGTCTATTAGCTAATATTATCGTATAAGAAAGTTTTAAATTGATTATTTTTATCATATTTGAAAATTAGTCGTTTTAAAAATCCATCAGTGTCATCATCACATTACCCAGAGATAGATCAACATGCGGTGGAAGCAATTTTTCATAAAATAGACAAAGGAGTAAAAACAATGGTATTTGAACAAAAATCGGATACTTTATCGCAATCATCATCATATCCGAAGGTGGTAGTAGAAGCCCGACCAAATTTACCAAAAGTTGATGAAGATTTAACTTCTGGTGCAATTGTACACAAAATGAATACTATACCATCAAATTTATATCCAATAGTGGTGGTGGAACCACCATCAAATTTGGTTAAAATGAGTCTAAATGAAGATAGAAAGGGTGATAGTAAGTGGTTAAAAAGGATATCTATATAATCAATTATACATTTAATAGTTATTATTATTAAAAATAATTGTAATAATATTTCAGACTCGGTGAAAAATCTGATCAATAACATGAGTACAATATTTGAGGCAGAGGACTCATTTGCATTAGATCCATCTTTAAGTGTTAATTTATCAGGCTCATTAATATTACTAGTTCCATCTAGCACAGGGTCAAATGAACCTTTGCTTACAACAACTGCTATTAGACAACTTACAAAGCTCATTAATAAAGTCAGTCGTTATAAACGTTTAGATGATATAGAAGTTGAAGATCTGGCAAGAGTTTCTAAAATCCTTGAACGTTCTGTTCATGAGGTTGAAGTACTAGATGTCTTGCCAAATTCATCATCTTTGAAAGCTCGTTCAATGACATTTTTCTCAAAAGTTCGATCCAATAATAATAAAAATTCGGAATCGATTGATTTAAATGAATATTATTTAGATAATGAATATGAAAACTTAGATGATGATGTTAAATTGAAACAAATCGAGGAGAAACTTGATAAAGTTATCAATGGTCTAGAAGCCTCTGTTGCCATTTTTTCTATTATGACTGGCGGAAAATTAAATAAACAGGTAATTAATTGATTTCTCGCTGATATCCGCTTATTACTTTTATTTTTTCTTTATTAAAATACTTATTAAAATCTTTTCATAGCTTTATCCTGAGGATTTAATTACCTCTACTCTAAATTTAATAAAAAACCAACTTGGCGGTTTAATTTATAGAATCTTAGAAATTAATGTGTCAAGTGATGAATTGAGTAGTATGTATCGCTCAACTAATGTTGTTTAAATCATTATCTATGAATGATATGATTTTTTGATATTTCCTTTTTTTTAATTAGGTGAAACTGACTCGTTTTTAATTGAACTTATTGAAAAATATCCTTAAATTATTTAACTTTATGTTAGAGTTTAAATTTTATTATTATTAATTATTCTTAATTCTTCCAATTTTTTTCTTTACTTCAAGGCTTAAACGTCATATAGTGTCTATGGTTCCTATAATAACTAATTTTTTACAAAGATTATACAACCTGATGCAACAAGAAGAGCTTTCAGATACAATTGTAATTACAGTTAGCTTTGTTGCGATTGGACCATTTTTTGTTGATACCTATAATAGTGGCGGTAATTCTATCTTTGGGAATGGGCTTGAAACTGTTAAATTGGTTGCGCTTGGATTATTACGTTTGGTGAGACAGACAGACATATTTATTTATACTTTGAATTACTCCTTCACATAAATAATATACATATTGATTGGCTCTTTATTGAAAACAAGATATTTACAAACCATCCAAAGCAACGTACATGGATATTAGAAGAAATTCTCACTTCATTAATTAAGTTACCAACAGCCAAACGTAATCTGAGACAATACAGGTGAGGCTAGTGTATTTGGAGTGAGATAAGAGCTATTAGTAAAGAATGTTATTTAAATTTTTGAGCAAGTTATGTAATCTTAAATTATCGTTGTATGAATTCAAACATAGATTGCCTGATGGTAAGTCCATTCAAATGGTTTCTGCACTTATTTTACAATTAATTCAAAGTTGTACTACAAGTATGAGGAAACTTGGTTCGAAACCATCTATTGATCGTGAACAAGATGAGGAGCTATATGACATTGAGATGAATAATGATCCTGGATGTTTAAAAAAGGTTTGTATTTTTTATATTAGTTTTAGAATAAAAGACTACTCTTTTTGATTTTAACATGATTTGATTTGATTTTGATTCAATTACTTGATATCCAGTGTTGTAATAGATGGAAAACAGGAATTGATGCAGCAAGTACTAATGCTGGATTCGTTTTTAAATTCTTATTGGCAAGGTAATGATTTAATATTGTTTATTTGCTTGTTTAACAATTTACTATAAATATTAAATTTATTGCTTTAAATTGAAAGATGTACAAAATCCTTGAAAAACTCAAATGAATCCGAATATAGGTTACTTTTGGATAATTTTATGGAAGATGTAATTGCGGTCTTGAATTATCCAGAATGGCCAGCTGCTGAAATGATAGTTAGCATTTTCAGTAAAATATTGGTATTTATTAAATAAAGAAAACACTAGTCTATAAATTTATTATAAATAAATAATACTAACTTGCTATTATTTCCATAGGTTGGCTACATTAATGATAACAAGGCAGACACAGTTACAAAGTCAATGGCTCTTGATCATTTAGGCATTATAGCAGGACGTATTAAAAAGTTTGCAAACACGGGCTTATTTTCTAGTGAAAGTTTGTCAGAAAGAAATTGGAATGATGATGATTTTCGTTTTTGGATCGACAAAGTTAAAGATATTCCCAAGGGAGAGGTTTATATCACAATAATAAACATTTTATTAGTAGTTTTTATTTTATTTTCTATTAAGATTTAAAATTACTCTCTAGATCACAAAATATACACAAATTCAAACAGTAAAAAATCTTTGGGAATGTCAAAAGGCTATTTTAACATTTTTAGAGCTTCTGGCGATGGAGGATTCTGGAATACAGGTATTAATGAATTGTAAAAATAGATTTATACAGATTTATTATTATTTACATCGATGAATAATAATATAATAAAATCTTTAGTGCGCTCGACAGTTTTATTTAACAGAATGGGGGTTTTCCTTTGCGAATACATTACTAACATTACAGGAACAACACGCAACAAATTTTCAAAGTGAATATCATGAAGACAATGATGGTAATAAATCCTCAGTTTTTGAGATGCAAAAATTAATTGATAAAATAGTCACAGAATATTGGCAGATGTCATCTGATGTTTATGATGATCAAAATTTAAAGCACAGGTTGATTTTTGATACGGAATTTTATCTTTCTTTTTTTTAAAAAAAAGTAATTTATTAATGACCCTTTATTATAAATAAGATCTCAGGCATTAGAAAGAAATAACGTTCTCCTTTTAACTGAATTACTCGCAACCAGGCAATCTTTATATCAATACTTTGATTCAATTCTTTCAAGGATATTGGTATCATTAGATACTGGTGTTGTAGCATTCAGAACTAAAGCACTAAGGGCTTTAAGCCAAGTTGTTATTTGTGATCCCAATATTTTGAGCCAAGTAATATCTTGATATTATTGATATTATATTACTTTTAATTAGATTTATTGTTAATTTTATTGATTTTAACTTTTAGGTTAATGTTCGTCAAACTATTGCACAAAGACTCTCTGACAACAGCCCTGCAGTTCGTGATGCTGCGATAGATCTTGTTGGTCGTTATATCTCACAAAAACCTGAAATTACAGAACAATATTACAAACTCATAAGTGATCGTGTTTTAGTAAGCACAGTTATTATGGCACTATGAAATTAATTTATTTTTGCTCCAAAGCTTATATATTTTAATCATCATTATTAATTATATAGGACACGGGTCTTAATGTACGTAAACGTGTTATAAAATTACTTAGAGATATTTATCTCAAAAGTACAGACCAGCAAATGATAATTGATATTGGTTGTAAAATTCTCATGCGTATCAATGATGATGATGATCATGTGAAGGTAATATACTATTAATATATCTGTTCAACAAAGAAAAAATGTTTTTATTAATGTAAATTTGCACTTTTAGGATCTAGCTTTAAAAACAATCCAAGAATTATGGTTTATGCCATTTAAAAATCAAAGAAACATAAACATTGACATTGAGGATCATAATGATGATGATGATGGACAAGATGAATTTTTCAATATGTCAGAGATAGGTAAAAAGGAGGTATTAAGCAGAAGTCTCCTGGTTGTTGGTGTAGCTGGACGATTGGGAGAAAGGCATGGACATATAATGGGGAATTTATTCAAAAAGGTGTATATTAAAAATTAAATTAACCTGTGATTCAATTTTTAAACTAAACAATATATTTATTTAGAATATATATTATTTATTTTTTAAAAAAAATTAAAGATTTTAGAAAAGGAGGGAAAGCAAAAACGAGAAATTTTAAATATATGTCAATGTATAGTTGATTGTCTTTTTGAGCATTTATTAACATTACAGGATACAAATTTAAAGGTAGTTAAATAGCTTAGATAATTTGGATTAAACAGTATATATCATTCTAATTACGAAATTATTAATTTATCGATAGACTGAGGTTGTCAGCTGCATTAGTACTATATGTCTATTGAGTAGTGCTTCTCCTACACTTGCAAGAAAGCATGTTGTTACTTTACAACCCTACCTAAAGAGTGCTAGCACGGTAAGAATATATATTAAAGTTATAATTATAATTAATCACTTGGTCATCAAATAATAATAATATATTATATTATTAATAGCCTGAAGATCAATCAATTCTATACTATGTGTTAATTATATATCGGAGTGTCTTGCCACTTCTTAAACGTCCCAATCCAAGTTTTTTAGCTGAGGTTGAGCAAGCTCTCATGAGTTTATTGACAAAAAGTCCACAAAAGGCTAGTAATGTATTGTTTATGTATATATATAAGATTATAAAAAATATTAATTTAGTTGATTAAATTTCAAATTGTAATTTATAGATTCTTCAAGAGGTTGTACCATGTTTATGTGTTATTGTTGACAAATTAACACACAATTATACACGGTTAACAAAACTTTTGAAATCTTGCTCTGGTAATGATTAAATTATAAAAACTATTTTAAATACCACTGCTACTTATTTGAATCACATTACAAATCATATTTATGTAATAATAATCGTGTATTATAATAGAGAAACTTAAATTGGAAAAAACAAAATTAACAGCAGGTTCATCTATATCTTCAGCTCGAAATGTAATGGTACTGCTTTTGATTGTGGGTCTTTTATGTAAAAATTTTGATTTTGACAAAAAACGGTTGGAAAAACCAGGTTTGTATTTGAAATAAATATACAATCTAATAATTGTGTGTATTAATATTTGGACTTTTGGTTTACAAATATGTTTATAGATGAAATGAAGGATTTGAATGCCATTGACAAGGTTTATAATTGTAATTTTCATTAATTTTGATTATGATTACTTTGTGGGTAGAATAAATAATGATTTATTTAATTTTGTAATAGGGGCCTATAGTAACAGTGATATTCCAATTGGTTTTATATTTCTGTAATGAGAATCTATCTGATACTGTACAGAAAATGTCTTTACAAAGCCTAGGTAGTATAAACTAAACATACATTTATGACTTACAATATTAAATATTACAGTGTTAAAATATTTACTTTTATTTAACAGGGTTCATATATCTTTCACACCCAACCATAATGCTTAGACGAGAAAGTACTGATTTGATGGATCGTATACTAAACACAGGTGTAATGGATATGAAAATTCAATTAATGAAAATGTTTTTAGATTACTTATTATCAGAGCAGCAAAAAATAAATGCAGATTTAGAAGACAAAAGTAATATTTTAATTTTTTAATTATTGATGATATTTATACATATGTATTTATGTTTGTGATTGTATATATTTATAAGAAAAAGTAAAGGGCACACCAGTAGATTTGAAGGTTTTAATAGGGAATGCAGAAGAATTTGCAGAAGCAGGGTATGGATTAGTTTATTATAAACGTGCATAGTGATTATATTCTAAATGTCCAAATATTAATTGGACCTATAATAATTATGTAGAGTAAGCAGTTCTATCATGCAACGATATCTTCATCGGATTTTAGAGTGCACCTTTGATCCAACTCAGAGTCTAAAGCTTGTTGCCTTGGATGTACTGGGCAGCATCATTCAACAGGGATTGGTACATCCTGTTCCGGTAAGTAATTGTTATTTGTTGCTCTGTTTTTTATCCGGTATATTCTAATTAATTTGAATAAATAAATAGTGTATGCCAACCATAGTTGCAATGGAAACAAGTCCAGAATCAAACATACGTGACAAGGCATTCAAATTACACCAACATTTAAATGAAAAGCATGCATCTTTGATTCATTCACGAAGTGTAGAATGTGTAAAAAAAGCATACGTTTTTCAAAAGCAATTAAATGGGAATAAATCGTTTGTTGGTGAGAATCCTACGAGTGAATGATGTTCAAATTTATTCACTGGTCCTAATTTTATACTGAAAATTTTACATATATACACACACATGAATAAAGGTTATGCTTTTCGTTCAAATGAAGGACATCCTGAAGCTTTAATCAATCCAATGTACTCTCTTTTGAAAGAAAAAAGACAACGTCGTAATGATTTTCTAATATCAATTGTCAAAACTTTTGATTTTGACTTGAAAAACTCAGATGAATCAAAGGTATAATAACTATATTAATCAATAAAGATCTCACTAAATTATATGAAATTAAAAAAATTTTATTCTATTATTTTTAGGTAGATGTAGGTTTTTGCAAATTTGTTGCAGAGAATTTAGCTACTATAGATTACAAGACTATTGAGGAGGTTTTGCATATTATATATTGTATAAATCGAGTTTTATCTGTTGTTGGAATAACTATTCTCCATTCAATTGAATACAACACAAAGAGTAAAGATGATGATATAAAAATGTCAAATTCTCTTCAAGAAGAACCAAAAACAGAAATCCAAGAACAAGGTATACCAACTAGGGATAAAGGTATAAATTACTTAGTTTGGATATGGGTATTATTTTTTGTTTTAAATATAAAATTATATATAAAATTATATTTTATTAAAATTTTATTCAGATAATATTCTTTCATTACCATATGCGGCTAAAGTTTCAATCTGTATGGCAATACTAATGCATTTAAAAGACCACTTAAAAAAGTCCTATGCACTAAGTGAAATGTAAGATTGATAAACTGTATTTGAATTAAATATAAAATATATTGACTTCTTTTTTCTTAAATATAAGGAAATGTCAAAGTTTCAATCCAACACAAAGTAATTCGCATAAAGACAAACCAGCATTACGACACCAAAATTCTCCCTTAGTCATATCTTGGGAAGGGTTGCCTTTTGTGGAAAAACCCTTCACCACTGATGATAATATACTGGAACAATGTGAACTGGTATTTTATTTGTTTAATGTAATATACACATATTTTTATTTTAATGGTTTTTATTTAAATATTTTTCATGTTGAATTGTTAGTTTAAAAATCTTATATCTGAAGATGGAACACAAAAAGATGAATTCGCAGATGCTGAGCTAGAAAGTGAAATTACAAACAGATCTAATGGGATAGCTAATGTTGAATTTGATATCAAACCCAAACCTACCCCAAAATCTTCAGGCACTAAGAAAAAAACAAATGATAATAGTAATAAAAAACCAAAAAAGAAAAGGAAAATTGTAATGGAGTTTATATATGACAATTAATTTATTGTAATTTATAAATTTAATTATTTACCCATTTATAGAAAAATAAACATCATGTTATTAAATATTAAACACAATCATTTAACCTTCTTTGGCTACTTTAATCTTATTTCCTTCTTCAGGGAGAATTTCCTTACACTTTCATAGCTCCTGCCTGTAGCCTCTCTTTCTTCTGTCAAACCTGACTTATATATATTAGCTAATATCATTTTAATAGAAGTGCTTACCCAGGACCTAGAGCGATACATATTAATATAGAGGTAATAAGTAAATTCAAAAATTTATAATAAGGTTTTTACTAAAATAAGCAAACTTTAAACATGACCTCAAAAATTTGCCACTAGTATAAATCTTGATAATTTCCTTTATCATCAATTATTGCATTAATGACTTGTTAATTTTTCAATAATATCATCCTGACCAAAGTATTCATTACAATATCTCCCAACAATTTGAGAATATTACCAACAAAATTCAGACAAATTACATGCAACTCAAATTGGTTTGGTGATTTCAATGGTCAAAATTATTCCAATGTTGATGGTAGAAAGTAGAAATTAATTACGGCACTCACTATTAAAAACATAAGTGTAACACCCCCTTATGACACGTGTAAACCCCTTTATGACGGTGTCAAAATACTTTGGGCTGCATATATAATCAGAATCAAACTCTTCTAAACTTTCTGTATTTTCAATTTGAGCAGGTTTGTAAAATTGAAACCCCCTTTGCATGACAATTTAAGTAATCTTCAAGCATCCATTGAGCTTAATTGTTTTACCACAAATATAAACAGCCTTCTTAGCATTAACAATATGGGCACAATATGGGTGTTTTAAAAGTCGCTCTTTATCAGTCACCCGTGATGTCACACGATCAATATAGTGACTGCAATAACTATGTAAGATTTATGTGTAACATTTCGATTTTTACTATTAAAATTCAACATAAAAAATTTCCTTCACAGGTGTAACTACTGTTTCTTTTTTAGTAAGATCCACAATCTTTTGCACAGACATTCTTTGAGACATTATTTATTTCCCTGCAAAATTTGAACCATTGCTTTATAAGAGAATGGAAAAGGATGGTCGTTTGAAAGTTTATGCTTCGGGTTTTAATGATCGACAATATTACTAAACAACGCAATATAACATACAAATAATGCTGTTGGTTTAAGAATTAAAGCAGCGAAATTATTCTTATGGCGGGATTCTTTATTCATAATAATAAATAATATTTAATCATATTGCTGAACTAATCATGGAAGCTTCCTGACATGAAGGAGATTTGAAGATTTGAAAACTTTTTTTTTTCTTTATTTGTTCATTCATATCATTCATATCTATTTGGCTAATACATACATATTTATATTAGACTTGATGATAACAATATTAATGGTTATTATTAATTGATTTTAGATCGCTGGAGTATTAAATTTAAGAATAATTGGTAATAAGAAATATTGAGAAAAGATAAGTGGTAAAAAATAATTACATCTCTTTGTTCCTTTGGTTAAATTTTTTTTATTATTTATTTACATTATGCATAATTTAACTTGTAATTATGTAATTACTAAATTTTAACAACTGACTGACTACTAATAATAAATTCTTTGTTGTTTAATTCTTTATAACAGCAAATTAGTTTTAATATTTAATATTTATATATTTTTTTTCCATTGGTAATTCTTTCAATAAAGAAGTTTAGAAACAAAAGATATTGAAGTGCATAAATAAGGTGTTATTCTTTAAAACAATTATGAAAAAATTCTTTAACTACCTCTGTTATTTAAACATTATAATTATTTATTAATAAAATATACATAATATCATAACTTATTTTTGATAATTTAATTATTGTCCCATTGATCATTTAATTTTATAATTATTATCTGTATTTTAATTCCATAATTATAATTCATAACAATAAATCCACTGTAAAATTGTTTATTAAATCTAAGAACAAATGGATTTGAAAAAAAAACTACCTCATATTAAAGTAAGTGAGCAAAAGGAATATGATAAAGAACAAAATCAAATTAACAATGATGAGACAGAACAAATAAATGATGACTTACTAGCTGTAATAGAAGAGACAATATCTGCCGCAAGTAATGGAAAAGTACAAGAGGTAAGATCTCCACTTCCTAAAAGCCAAAAATATACAGAAGAACAAATAATTCTTCAGGAGCTTATTAATTACACAGATTTGCCAAAAGAAGTTTGTATGAGAATAAATGAAGAATTGGTTAAAGTAAATGGTTCATGGACTAACAAAAAAGTAAGAGACTACTGGTATTAACACGTTAAAAAAAAATCTAAAAATGCCGGAGAATCATAAATATTTAATTAATTTAAAATATTTAAATAAAATTAATAAATAATAATGTATATTGTTTTTTGCTTTTAATATCTTCCCCAAAAAAATAAAATGCCTAATAAATATATATTTTCAAAAGCTAATATTATACTCTACCTGTTAATGTTAAAAAGATCCCAATGAGTCTTCTCCCTGAAAAGGATGGTGGTTCCGAAGACAAAAAGTATGTGCCTTTTCGAATAATTATTTCTCTTGAACAAAAAAAGCTAATGAAGTATAAAAGATTGTGATTGAAAGAGCGAAACTATGAAAATATGTTTACATAGACATGAAGGATGTTTGATCATGCTTTTTCGTTCATTTTTGGTTTTAAAGTCTGTTGTACAGAAAAGTACTATGTCGATCGCTATAACAAAATCACTCATTGTGACATCACGTATGACTGATAAATATTTACGGAATCATGCTCACTTTGTATGTCTTTATACTATCATTTATTTTAAACAAATAAACTATGGTTTATACTATATATTAAATTTTAATTATGACCAAGCATTTTATAGGAAAACTTTATTATGGTGTGAAAAATGATCGATTTTTTAT